GCTCAGCGTCGGTGTTTACCCAGGAGCAAACCTATTTCACACACAAAATGTAACTAACGGGTTACTCATTTGTATCCCTATTCTGGTTGTAGACTATTCATTCAACTATCGTCCATAGTTATTAGTTGTCTTCGGCGTAATAGTGGTGTAACCTTTATTTTTGTAACGTTGAATAATTCTATCTAGTCTACCATATAAATACTCGTCCTCATGCATATACACCTTTAATCTGTTTGTATAGTTCCAGCATTCACGCTTGTATACCATAATCCAGTCTGAAAGTGAAAAATAAAAATGGTGTGTTTTTAAATGATCATTTTAAATTTGCAAAAAAACTAAACGGTCATCTTTTTAATGACTGAACCTTTTTCTCTGAGACATAAATTAGTTCCAAATACCAAAGTTTGTTTTGAGCAAATGTTTGGTTTGTATTAATTAACTTTGATAGTTTCATGTCGAGCCTCAAAACTAAGACAAATGAGCATTAAAAAACCATACCAACAACCAAACAATGTTTGGAAACGCAAGCAAATTCGCTTCAAACACTTGCCAGCCGTTGCCGCGACTGGCTCACTTCGCTCGCTCGGCTCGTGTGCTTTTCCACATACTAACCTAACCTACTGAATAGAGGGCAAGATTTTACTAACTAATATAAAAAGCGTTAATATACAGAGCGTCACACGGCTATGCCACACGGAGGGAAAGTACCGTAAATACCGTAGATAGAAAATCGTACTTAAAATAGACTTCATTTTGATTTTAAAACCAATTCGAACTACATTCAAAGATTTTTAAATATTCGCCGGTCTAAACCGGGAATCGAACCTTCACATGTGAAAAAAAACACCTGTAATTTTACTATGTATACTGATCGAAAACCTCAATCATAATAGAGAGAGAGCGCAGGGCATTGGCCGTACGTTGTAATATGTTGTCCGGCAGGTTTGCGCACTGTGATGGGGATGTTAAAGCTGCCCTTTTCAAGGCGTTTTGTCAGACCTTTTACACGTGTAATCTGTGGACAAGCTACACTAAAAAGCCGGTCAATGCTCTGCGTGTTCAATATATCAATGGATTTAGGATGTTCCCCGGCTAGTGAAATTACAGGCACATGGGATTTGCCAACTTGTATCTCAGAATGACGGGCGCAGTGGCAGTGCCCCGCAGATCTTTGCGATTTAAAGATCTGCAACTGTTATGGATACGCGTGTAGCTCACCATCAGGCGCACTACTTGTTCGAATTACAAATTTAAAAATCTGTAATTCATTACTTGCACGTTTGTAGCGGCGTAAAGATTG